CACCACATAAGCAAAAAGAAAAAAGCCAGAAGTGGCACTGTGGCTCAAGTGGTAGAGTGCTAGCCTTGAGCTGAAGAGCTGAGGGACAGCGCCCAGGCCCCACGACCGGCCCCCCCCCCAAAAAAAAAATTATCACAAAGGTTCCTTTTTTTTTTTTGTCGGTTGTAGGGCCTGATCTCTGGGTCTGGGCGCTGCCCCTCAGCTCTTAAGCTTAAGGCTAGTGCTCTACCACTTGAACCACAGTGCCACTTCCAGCTTTTTCTGCTTATGTGGTGCTAAGGAATCAAACCCAGGGCTTTATGCATGCAAGGCAAGCACTCTACCACTGAGCCACCTTTCCAGCTTCCCATATTATAATTTTATCACACATTTAAAATGTAGATTTTGGAGCATTTTAGTAACTAATAGTGTTCCGAATTGTTTTTGATCCTTTTCTACTTTTCAACCTTCTTTTCTTACCTGATGTTAGGGAACAGGTTGAGTTTTTGTCTGGCTTTAGTGATATTTTTCAATGTATATTTAATTTTAATCTTGTACCTTTTTTTCGTACAGACTGGTGAATTTTCAGCTCGATTTCTTTTGAAGTTGCCAGTGGATTTCAGCAATATTCCCACATATCTTCTCAAGGTAAAAAATTATATTTTATTGAGTCAAGTACTGATGGCTCATGCCTATTATCCTAACTACTCAGGAGGTTGAAATCTTCGGCTTGTGATTTGAAGCCAGCTTCAGCAGGAAAGTCTTTGAGACTCTTGAATTAGCCGTCAAAAAGCCGAAAGTAAAACTATGGCTCAAGTGGTAGAGTACTAGCTTTGAGAAAAAAGCTACCAAGCCCAGAATTCAAGCCCCAGGAGTGTCAAAAATGAATGAATGAATGAATGAATAAATACATAAATAAGTAAAATAAATAAAATTGGTATATAATTGATATAAGAATATAAGAGAATTTTTGCTCAGTCTCTGAACAGTTGCTTTGTCAGCATTTTGTTTGCATGATGAATTCTTTTTTTTTAAACTATTTTTTTTATTGTGAAAATACTGTACAGAGGGGTTACAATTACATGGCAAGATAATGAGTACATTTCTTATCAAGCATTGTAGCCTCCTCCTTTATTTCCTCTTCCCATCCCTTCCCATCCTCCCCCCGTCCCCCCACCCAATCCTCCCCGCTATCCACCTCCCCCACCACCAAAGTTGTAAAGTTCATTTTTTGACATAACGACTTGTACATGCATGATGAATTCTTTTGAAAATATTTACTACAAAAAGATTCACTGAGCTGGACTTTGGTGGCTCATACCTGTAATCCTAGTTATTTAGGAGGCTTGAGGTTCAAAACCAGCCTGGATAGGAAAGTCTGTGAGAATCTTTTTTTTGTTGTTGTTGGCTGTGGTGAGACTCTTATCTCCAATTAATCACCAAAATCTCAAAATGGCACTGTAGTTCAAAGTGGTAGAGCTCTGAGGAACAGAGCTTACAGACAGCGCCCAGGCTCCATGTTCAAGCCCGACAACTGACCAATGGGGAAAAAAAAAATTGCTACCAAAATGCTAAAATAGTAATCTTAAAAGTTCATTTAGATAGGATATACTTGTATGAGGCAAAATTTTATGTGTATTAAACTTCAGGAAAAAGTTGCTTTTAATTAAGAATTTTATTATAATCAAATACTGTTATAAAATTTATTGGATACATTGTCTTTAAGTGAGATTGCATATTAACCACAGTGGCTGAAGGGTTTTTCATTTCTATTATGTCAGCAGTTGAACTTGGCTATTTTCAAAGTTGGGATACTCAAGACTCAGAATCAATGTACAAGACACTCTTTAAATTGGGATGCAGTATTATTTCTCTTATATGTACAATCTAGTTCTAAAAGAAGGAGAAACATGAACATAAAAGGGGGGACTGTTGGAATGGTGAAATCGGTAGGAAAGGGGAAAAGAAGGTATGGCAAATATGGTTGATGGAACTATATAAATATAAGTACTTACATAATGAAATGTAATGAAATCTACTTTTGAGAAATTGTGAAAAAAGCTTTAGAGAGGTTGAAGTGAAAGGAAGATGAAAGACTAATAGAGAAGGTACATATGATCAAAGTAAGATATATGTATTTATGGGCATATCTTAATCAAATCCCTCATTGCACACAATTAATATACACTAATACAAATATTTTTTAAAAATTGGAAGCAGGCCCAGGGGGCAGCTGTATTGGGAGGGTATGTAGATATTTTACAGAGGTCAGCATTGACACCCAGAGACTAGACTGTGGTTAGTTAGAAAAACTAAATGGACAAAAGAACAAATTCTGAAAAGAAAGCCATAAGATAGAGGCTAGGTTTTAATACAAATGAGGATTTAAGATGACTGGCTGCCCATAGCCCTTATTTAAACCTTATTTATGGTTATTTAATTTCAATCCAATGTAAGAAAAATTTCTGCCTTCCTAATTTGATGTTGTTAGAAAGATAATGGTGTTTGTAACTATCTAGAGAGAAGACATAGCCCTTGTACAAGTTTCCCTGAACTGAGTATCAATATCTTGTTCTTAATCTTAATAATGATTGGAAGTATGGTTTTGTAGACTATAGGATAAAACAATAGAAAGAACTAGGGAGTTTTTTATGCATTCTATCCGAGGAAATTTATTTTTTCTGTGAAAAATATGGATTTTTTGTGTTTATTAATAAGCTTTTAGTTGTAGTTTTCAGTTGCTTAGTTTTCTACTCTGTACACCATGGTTGTGATGTGCAAATGAGACTGGAGGTTAGCAACTTCTGTCATTTTTGTTTACTCTGCTTTGGTTTGATCTGTGATTATAAGGCACAATTGATTAAATTTCAATGATTATTGTGCTCTAATAGAATGTCAAGCAGATTCCTTAGAAACTGCTATAACACCTACCCAGTAATCTTCATCTATTCCAGTTTTTTTAATTTGGTTAAAGTAAAATTCAGTAGTACATATGAGTAAATTATTTGTATAGTCATCTTAATCTACAATTACAGTGTGTTTGATTTGTTGGGCCTTGTCTGTTCAAGTAGCTTTTGTGTTTACTTAACATTGATGATTGACTTACTATTGATTCTTTTGGCCCGGCTCATGTCAGGGCCAAAGGAAAAAAATGCAGTTTGCTTCTAATCTAATGTTTTTTCTCTTTAATATTAAATTCCCTTATATTCTGTTTTAGAATTTCTTACTTTGTAATTTGCTGTTACTCTTCTTGCCAGTCAGACAAGACATAAGTAGAACCCGTTTGTCAAAACTGTAAAGCATGTTTTCTCTTCCAAATTAATATGACTAGGGATTTCTTTTCCTTTAGATAAAATGCAATGACTTTCTGGATCTTTGGTTCATGGAAATTAAAACAACATGGATAAAAAGGGAAAATATTCTAGTATAACACAAAACAAATTTTGAATATAGAAAAAAAGTCTACCAGACTATCAGAAATAACTTAGAATACTTGCCGAGGGATTAAAGATCTAAGTTCATGAAGCTGTTGTATCATAATCTTGGGACATTTGACTGTGCTTTTTAGAGGAAATTTTCATTAAGAACTCCTTTACATATTACTTATATTAGCTTGCTCTTCATCTGTTTGCTAGGCTTGTAATTAATAGTTTAATTTAAAGAAGAAAATTTACCTCTTCAGTTCCTAGGATTAGGATACTCTTCGCCAAGGCCAATATTCTTTTTTTATTTTTTATTTTTTTTTGGGTCCGGTTGTGGGGCCTGAACTCTGGGCCTGGGCACTGTCCCGCAGCTCTTCAGCTCAAGGCTAGCACTCTACCATTTGAGCCACAGCGCCACTTCCGGCTTTTTTCTTTTTTTTTGCTTATGTGGTGCTGAGGAATCGAACCCAGGGCCTCAGGCATGCAAGGCAAGCGTTCTACCACTGAGCCACCTTCCCAGCCCCAAGGCCAATGTTCTTTTATCTCATCTTCCCAAGCCATTAAGTGGTAAAGTAGAACTTTTAAATACTGACATAGCATGGAGTTTGACTACATACTCTGTTTGCTACAGTGTAATTTCATTATACTATGATGAAGCCATCATTAACTCCTAAATGTATATTATTTATTAGATCCTTTTTTCACACTGATAGGATTTTCTGATATTACAAATATCAGAATATAAATATAAATATAAATATTCAGTGATACAAGTTTTCAGAATATTGTGTACATGTGTGTGAGAGAAAGTAGTGAGAAAGAGAGAGAGAGAGAGAGGATAGAGAATAGAGACTAGAGAATGAGAATGAAACCTGGCTTAACAGTCTGAATTTTATTCTTGAACAATGTCAAAAGCTTAGATAAATCAGTTATGTAAAAACTGGTTCATTTCATAATTCTAATTAACCTTTGTCTGTTCATTAGGATTCTTTATTTGAAAATGGTAAAATCTAGCATGAAATTATATAAACCACATTAGAAATGATGTACAAATACTCTACTCCCACAGACCATGTAGTAGAAAACAGACCCTATATTGTACAGATCAGGCATAGACCAACCTTCTCACGTCTGTTCCACTCAGGCTCAGTTACATACCCCATAACTCCTCAACTCATACACTTTTTGGGGAAAATTGTGGTTTCCCACAATAAAAGGGAGTTTATTGAAATGATGAAAGTATAAGTTCTCATTATGGTATTTATCCAGGAAAAGGTTATTTTTAATTATATGCATGTATATCCATGGTTCCTGCATTCATAGATTCTGCATCCATGAATTTAGTCAAACACAGATGGAAATTGTTTGGGAAAAAATTGTGTCTCTGAACATGCATAGACTTTTTTTTTATTTTTGGTTGGTCGTGGGCTTGAACTCTAGGCTTGGGTACTGCCCCTGCGCTCTTCAGCTCAAGGCGAGCACTCTACCGCTTGAGCCACAGTGCCACTTCTGGTTTTCTAATGGTTTATTGGACATAAGAGTCTCACAGACTTTCCTACCTGGGCTGGCTTTGAACCGTGATCCTTAGATCTCAGCCTCCTGAGTATCTAGGATTACAGGTGTGAGCCACCGGCACCTGACTTTGTATACACTTTTTATTCATACTGTTGTTTCTTAAATAATAAATTATAACACTTATATAACATTGTAATAGAACTAGAGATTATTTAAAATATATAGGAGAAAATAAATAGGCCATATGTAAACAATTATGCCATGAAGGTCTTAAGCCTCTTACAGATTTTAGTACCATGAAATACTAAATGAGATATCATGGTCCTAGAACCAATCTCCCCTGGATACCCAAAGATAATTATACTTTCTCTTATGAAGAGCTATCATTGGAAGATAATGCTTTTAGTTTTGTTAAGATGAAAACTGTTCTCTATATATTCCCATATTTATTTTTGTTTTGAGAAACATTTCTTTCTGTTTTTCTTGGAAAAACCATACTCCCAGTGAGAGACCTAAAGAAAAGATTCTCATTTGTCTACTAAAATTTTTATTATATAACAAAGAATACTCATAAATTACAGATACAACATTTAGGGGGAGGAAAGAATCTTACTTAAACATTATGTGTATTTGAATTTATCTCTTAAAACTATGAGCCAGTTTTATTGAGAATATACTGAAGTGAAAACCCTAAAGTTAACCCCTACTGTA